CGTACTGTTAAGACAGCAGGTAAAAGTTGGTCTGTGTTCTGTCGGAGCTGCCTGCGACGCGCTGATGAGATTCAAAAAAATCGAAATCGCGATCCGCGTCTGGCAGTTTCTACAGGATACGGACCACTTCGAATTATTTTATAAAATAGAAAGTCGTTTATTTTCTAAGACTTTTCTTTGTATGACGTGATTGTCTTTTCCCTTCGATGTCTTTATAAGCGGATTCTACTGTAGTTAATTCGTAGCTCTGCAGTTTACCTTTTTGTATCACATGAAAAATAGTATACTACATATACAAGGGTTATAATATTAAGTTTTATTAACCACCATGCAATTTTTCTAAGGCGTATAGTACCTTTCTTTCTACCAGGTTCTGAACACCGTTGTTTACAAGCGTCTTCCGTTGGGAAATTGTTATTATTCGCTTTGCAACCACCGTATCTGAACTGTTCACACGTCTGACTTTCTTTGCTGAAATACCAACGTCTGTAGTGGCCTCTGCACGGTCCCTCTTCTTTCGGTTGTTCGCAAGCATCTGTAATTTGAGAGTGTGTAAAAATTGTTTCACTTAGATTTTTTTTCGTGTCGTGTACCAACTGAGTCGTCTCTGACGCAAAGTTCTGAACATTCTTCTCGTGTTTCGAAGCGATTGTTGTTTCCTAAGCAACCGCCATAAATAAATTGGGCGCATTGTTTCCTTTCGGTATCGTAATACCACATGGGATAATATCCTTCACAAGGACCTGCTACTTTAGGCAGCAAACAACGATCTGTGAAATTATGAAACAGAAAAGGAAGTGATCATTGTGAAGACTAGCTCAATCAATCAAAGATTTTCGGGACAACACATACCCGTTCCTTGAGGTTCAACACAAATTTCTTGGCATTCATCTCTTGTACGGAAACGGTTTTCGTTTCCTTCGCAGCCGCCATACCAAAATCGTGAACATCCACCATATTCCATATCGAAGAACCATTTGACCGTGTAATTTCTACAGGAGCCTCTTTCCTTCCTCAGGGTGCAGCTGTCTACAAAATCAACGCAATCACATTTGCATTATCCCATAAGATAAAAAGCTCTCGCAAGTTTACCCTGTAGTTTTGTGAGAACTTCGTCGCATCCCTCGAAGTTTTCGCCAGTTGCTTCGGTAACACCATCCAAACAACAACCATACTTGGTAGAATCGCAGCCACATCCTTCGTAGTTGGGTCCCTTTGCTGGCGTTTGGTCGTCTGAGCAACATCCGAATTCGGTGTTTTGACATCCACATCCTGAGGACGATTTTTTAAAGATATTCGATTTTAAATTGAATAAATGACATTTTTACCCTGCTTGTGGGGCCCTTTAGCTGCAGTTACTCCATCCGGACAGCAACCGAATTGGAAGGTATGACACTGACATCCCTGGTACTCTGCACCTGCTGCAGGAGTGTAACTATCAGGACAGCATCCGAATTCTGTGTACTGGCAACCGCAACCTTCGTTGTTGTATCCCCTTGCTGCGGTCGAATTATCAGGACAACAGCCGTACGGTGAATACTGACAGCCACATCCTTCGCAACGATAGAACGTTGTTTACAAATTGTAATGCATTTATTTTAAATAATATCGAACGAACCTTCTAAATTTGGTCCTTGAGCTGGTATAATATTGTCCGGACAGCACCCGTAAGATGTTATTAAACAACACCCTTCCTTATTATAACCATGAGCAGGAGTGATACTGTCCTCACAGCATCCGTAAGCACTTGATTCACATTCCATTTTGCAACCCTTGTAGTTTGGTCCTTTGGCTAAAAAATATGTCACACGTGAAATATGCTGAAGGATACACGATAGATTGAACTTATTTACCGGAAGTGCCATCGGGGCAACAGCCGAAGTAGGATTCGGTGCAGTTTTCGCTGAAAATATCACAACCCTCGTAGTCTTCTCCTTGGGCTGTTTCAACTCCATCAGGACAGCATCCGTAAGTGCTCTCGTTACAAGGTCCGGGTTCTTCAGTAGGAACCATTGTAGTTGTAACTCCTTCCTCTTCTTTTTCTTCCCGTTTACATCCTTTTCCGTGAGCGTCTTTTGCTTCGGTAACATTATCCGGGCAACAACCAAATCTAAAGTAGAATTCGAAAAACATTTAAAAAATCAGTTATTTTTTTTCAAAGAAAACTATTGCATACTTAGATTTGAGACATTTCGGCGGTGGAGGGGGACAACCTTCTTTATTCGTACCTTCGGCTGGGGTCTTTTTATCAGGGCAGCAGCCGAATAACGATTGCTCGCAGTGAGTTGGCGGGCATCCTTTAAAGTTTTTACCTTTTGCAACGGATACACCGTCTTCGCAACAACCGTAGGTTGTTTCGTTACATGTTTTAACATCTGGACATCCTGGAAATAAACCATTGGACAAATATTAGTATCCAGGACTATGTGCGCGAATGTCAGACAACAGTACCTTTATTAAATGGTCCTTTGGCTGGTGTAATTTGGTCAATACAGCAACCGTGTTTGCTAGTTTTACAGTCGGGCTTCTTTTTCCTTCTACATTTTCGCATTTTACGAAGAAATATGTCTGTGACAGGTGTTGTTTCCCACAGGTCACCTATGGCATTTTGTATTCAAAGTGTGTTCTCTGAGTATCTTTCAAATATGTTTTACGTACCTTCGGTGGATGATGACCACACGTCGAATTCTGAAGTAGTCTCGCTTTCTGAGCTACCTTCCGAGATTTCGGTTGAGACAGACGATCCTTCACTTGTATCTGTACTACTGTATGCTTCTGTCGTACCGCCACTTTCAGACGAGGCTTCGGAACTTCCTGAGACCTCTTCCGTTGTACTTCCCGATACCTCTTCCGATGTAGCTGAAGAGTCTGTTGTTAAACCAGAGACTTCGGAGGTGGCTTCTGAAGACGACTCCATTGTGCTGCTTTCCATTTCTGTGGTGCTCCCTGAGAAGGAACTAGTAGTGCTTCCTTCGCTTTCTCCCGTGCTGCTACTGCCTTCACTTATTTCCGTGGTGCTTCCCGATGGAGATGACGATTCTTCGATGGTACTGCCACTTGTTGTTGAGGATTCTGATGTTTCTTCTGTATCTGTGCTCTCGCTTCCTGTTTCTGTTGTAGAAGAATCCGTTGTGCTGTCGGAAGTAAATTCTGTGGACAAGTCTGTAGTGAAGTCGCTGGTGCTTTCAACATCCGTGGGTGTATAGGTGATGATTGTAGTCAGGAAAGACTCCGTAGAATCTGTTTCTGTTGTTGGTGTGTCTGTTGTTTGAGTGTCGGTTGTTTCAGTGTCAGTTGTTTGACTGTCGGTTGTTTCTGTGTCGGTGGTTCCGGTGTCTGTGGTTTCAGTGTCCGTTGTTATCGTGCTTATGTCTGTTGTGCTCTCATCTGTCATTTCCGTGGTAAAGAATGAGCTTTCCGATATCGCACTTAATGTGGTTGATACAACTGAACTGAGCATTTCTGTTAAACTGCTCATCGATAAACTGCTCTCGGTTTCTCCTGACGGTGATGACTCCTCTTCGGTAACGGCAGATGAGCTGCCGAGATCTTCTGAGCTGCTGGTGGTGCCTTCGCTGGTAGGCGTAAGACCATCGCTGCTCGTTGTACCTGATGGAGTTTCGGAAGATTCGCCCGAACCTTCGCTAGAGGACGAGAGGGAATCTGTCGAGAGCATTTCTGATGATTTTGAAGAATCTGTTATTTCCGTTTCTCCTGATCCTGTCTCGGGACTTGACAGATCAGACGATTGGGCGGTGTATGCTGATGAATCGTCGCTTACCATGAAGTCTTCTGATACCAAGGTCGATTCTGATTCTATAGTCGAACCTCCAGATTCCTATATTGCATGGAACATAAATACTGTTGACATTTTATGTATTTTATTTTACAAAAATATTACGTAAAACTCCGGCGCAAGTGTTGTTTCTTCATCGATGGCTTCATCTTCCGGTTCATAGTCAACCCATTCGCCATCTTCGCATTCTGTATCAAAATCTTCTTCGTATTCTCCCGCTTCTTCTTCTTCTTCCTTATCATCTTTTTCCTTGTCTTTCTTTTCTTCTGTTGGCTTTTCAGCTTCTTTTTCTGGTTTGGTGACGTCGCTCGGCGAAGGTTTAGATTCAGCTTTGGTTTCTTCGGTTTCTTCCATCGACTTAGTAACGCTAGCCGACAATATTTCATCTGTAAAGTATAATTAGTATTAGAAGGCTTTGGGGGTGGCGAACAGGGCAATCGCCCGGGGCCTCGCTTTTGCAGGACCTCGCGCAACAATCTAATTAGAAAATATTAGGTAGTAATAATACATACTACTAATGTTTATTTGAATTTCTTAATAGTCTTAAAAGAAGCCGCAANTCCGGTTTGGGCATAATAAATATTTATTAACATTATCATGCTGATAATTAGTAAAATGCTCATAAGCCATCGTCTACACCACTGGATGCAATTGCGCATGCGTAGAATAAGGTTTTTATTATAGGTATTTGCTGTTTTTTCACTTCAAGCCAAACCGAGGCATAAGTACATTTTTATAATACTATGTGCCTGGAGGATATATTTATTGACTTACCACTAGCCGTTTGATTTGTTATTAGAGGTGGTTTCTTTTCTTCCCTAGTCACGCAGATATATTCACACTCCTCTTGCGAACTGAATCTGTTACCATTACCATCGCAACCCCCGTAAACAAATTGGGCGCATTTACCGTATGTAGCATCGTAATAGTGTTTGATAAAGTATCCTCTACATGGGCCAGAATCTTTCGGTAATCGGCAAACATCTGAAAATTTACACTATTTATGTACCGGTTCCTTTTCAGTTCAAAAAGGTGGGGGTACCCGAAAGGTGCTCTGATAATCTAAATCTTTATTTAGCTATTTTTGGGGTAATTATCCAGAATTGGGGCCCCAGACCAAAATCGCTCCAAAAAAGGTGTTAAAAGTTATACAAGCTTTTAATCTCTTTATCTCACGATTGTCACTGCATAAAATTCTTTTATTAATATTAAAAGAAGAAATAGATATGCATACACCATATATCCTATGATGTATGCTGTACTAAAAAAAATGTGTCTCCTCCGCATCAAATATAATCATTGAACCCTCAGAAATGAGCAGAAATCGATGAAAAAAAATTTTTGAGCGATTTTGGTCTGGAGCCCCAATTCTACAATTCATTGTATGAAATTCCGCTATTGTACTAGGAAATGTATAAAATTAATGCTTTCTGTCAATAAAATACCCTTAACTTATCAGCCCGCCTCCGGCGTAAAGTAAGTAAACTCTAGTCTGTCTTAAATCTACCTAAACAAACAATGACATCACTAATACAGGTAAATTATCCAGAATTGGGGCAATTTTAAAAAATTATCATTCAAATTTTTTTTTATTTATGAAGAATTACCGGAAATCGATGAAAAATTGGAGCGATTTTAGTCTGGAGCCCCAATTTTGCACAGTTACCATTTTTGGTATACTTCACCTCAAAAGGGAAACATGGAACCTTACAATCTGTTTGATGTAGAATTATAGAAAGATTATTGGGGTAAAGGAACCACGGATGACTACAATCTGATGGTTAAAATGTTAAGACTATGGACTTTTTTAGGTCTACGTTCTTGTAATAAAATAGGAAGATTATGACTTCGACAAAATTCACTTCGTTTATGTTGTCTTTTCCTACCGTAACCGTATGATCCTAATTCGCATTTGATCTATGTTAATTTTATTTTAAAATTGTAAGTGTACCTTGTCCACGGAACCTTCCACATTGTCTTTCACACTGTTCTTCTGAGTTGAACCTGTTAGCGTTCCCTTCACATCCTGTATAGACAAAAGGTAAACATCTTTGGGTCGACGGGTCGTAATAATAAAGGGGCACACTGTCGTTGCACCTTCCGGCGTCTACAGGTGCGTAACAGATAGAGGTTTCGATCGGATAAGCTGCAAGGAGAGTGGGGCGATTTTGAATTTGAATTTTTTAACTGAGAACGACTTACGTTGCTCGGGTTCTGAAGGACTTCGAGTGGGATAGCTGGGTACCTCTGTGACGGGAGCAGGCAGTGTTCTTTTGCACCTGCTCTCGCAGGATCTTTGATCGCTGAATCGATTGTCGTTACCCAGGCAGCCGCCGTATTTGAAAGTTTTGCAGGAATCCGTGGGTTGATCATAGTACCACTGCTCATACTCGCCACTACATGGTCCAACTACCACTGGTAATGTGCACAGGTCTAAAAGAATAATTTTCTATGTAATTAAAGTGGCGGGTAGGATCATAATTGGGCGTGCATCATGCAAAGAGTACTGGATGGATTTTGATTATTTTTTTTTTAAATTGGTACCTTGAGAAGGTCCACATTGTTGTTGACATTCTTCGGCAGTGTTAAAGTTGTTACCGTTACTTTGGCATCCACCGTAAATGAATTGTTTGCATACACCGTCGCTTCGATCGTAGTGCCATCGAGTGTCGTAGTTCTGGCATGGTCCTGGGTCCTTTGGCAGGAAACAAAATTCTGGAAATGGAAAGTGCGATTACGCTGCATTTTTCTTTTTAGAATTTACAAATAACGTAATTGAAACTGTTTTTGTTTTTCTGCGAAATACTACCTTGTTTAAATGGCACTTCTTCTGGCGCCCCAATGGGTTGTACCGGTTTTTCCGTTGGAGGCGGTTGAGTACAACGTAGTTCGCAGGCTTCGACTGATACGAAGTTGTTGTCGTTACCTTCACAACCTCCATAGTAAAATGGACGGCACTGTTTCAATTGGGTGTCGTAGTAGTAACGTTCGGTGTAGTTCGCACATGAACCTGTTTCAGCTGGAAGCTGACACGTATCCTTTACTGCAGGAAAAAAGAAGAACGTTTGTAGCAGGAATCTTGGACTCCTTTGAAGTTGGTATGGCAAAAAATAAGTCATCGTATAATTAGTCGTGAAAGCTAGAATCGTGGGAAAGGTTGGGTTGTGGTTCGGGTAAGAAAGATGAGACGGACGAAATGAAGACAGAAGAGATTGAAAGATTATCTGTGGAATATTACTGCCCTAGCATTTGTCTAAGTGATCCAAGGAAACGACAGAAAAACTTGGACCAAGGCAGACGGACCCGGAATCGAACCGGCGTCCTCCCGAATGCTAAGCAATGGTCTAGACCTCTGGGCCATGCCGCTCTTAGTTAAAAAAAAAAAAAATTTTGGGTGTTTCATTCCCACCAGCCAGTAATGCTGGTGGGCGGGCAGTCCCTCCGGACTATGCCGGAAGGTAGGGCGGAAGGCCCTCTTCAGCCTACTTTCAGGAATCGTGGGAATGGGTGGGTGGTGGTTCGGGTGAGAAAGATGAGACGGACGAAATGAAGACAGAAGAGAGTGAAAGATTATCTGTGGAATATTACTGCCTCAGCATTTGCCTAAGTGATCCAAGGAAACCACAGAAAAAGCAATGGATTAAACCTCTTGGCTATACCGCTCGGTCCGAGACCCGAGAACCGAAAACCAATTGGTAAAGGCATTTGTGGCCGATAGGGTGAATTGATGCTGTCCTGATTTGGGTCTAAAGGCCGTCGTTGGTGGGAGTTGTTTTCTAACGTTTCGCTAGCACTAGTGGCGAGCTTCTTCAGAGGTCCTCTCATCTCCGATGTTGGATGTGGACATAGGAGATGGAAGGACCTCTGAAGAAGCTCACCGCTTGTAATGGCGAACAACGAATGAGATTGTAGTAGGAATTTTAAATTGGGGTTGAAACCTACTGTGAATATTTCGCAAATTAGCTGTGAATGCCAAAAATAAGTCGCGATCTGGGAAACTAGTTTCCAATGAAATTAGTATGCAAATTTTTGACTTTTACGGCTAATTTGCGAAATATTCACGGCAAGTTTCAAACCCGATTTAAAGTGCCTACCTACTATAATCTCACTCGATATTATAGCGCTTGTTGAATCATCAAGATCGAAAAATGATACTACATTGTTAGCAGTTAATTTGCAGCTAATTATGAGCGATTTTAGCTGTCTAGAATTTTCTTAACCAATTTTACAAACTGATTTTCGAGTTTTCCGGGACGTGGCTAATTTTTGACTTTCAGTGTTAAATATTCGATGGTTTATATATTTTTTGCCATTCCAACTTCAAAAGGGTGAATTTTGTAATTGGATGTAAGTTCTTTGTTCGTTGTGAATTAGTAGGTGATGATTAGTATTTTTAAAATGTTACTTGTTGTTGTCAGATAAATTTATCTACACCGTGCTGGGATTACTTTAATATTGTTTATTGTAAAATCTATTTACAAATTTAGAAAACTATATCTCCATACGTATGTACAAATACTTACCGATATCTTTAGGACAGTCGGTTTCGCAGGCCTCTCTACTTGCGAAATTGTTCAAATTACCTTCGCAGCCGGTATAATAGAATGGCATGCACCGTTTTTCTGAAGAGTCGTAATACCATCTAGGCTCTTTTGCAGAGCAAGTGCCCTGTGCCCTTGGTAGAGAACAATGATCTATATGCGTAACAAACGTTAGTGAAAAACATGCAAACCATCACCACAAAATACTACAGGTTGATATCAATACCAGGGAAAGGGGTGATACAATAAGGGTACTGCTCCATGTCTATTAATAGCATTTGTAATTACAGTGGAATTCGTTTATTATGACTCCGCCTATATTGACCGATCGGTTAATATGAAGTAATTGCAGTGTTAAGTTTGGTTTTCATATTAAATTCTGTATAGGAAAGTTTGGATATAATGACTCCGTTTAAAATGATATATCGTTTATTATGACTGATTTTCAAGAAATCATATCCGGCTATAGTGACCCAAATGATTAATAATAACATTTTCTTTTGTGGTATTTTCTAAAAGGCACTTTTAAGACAGCAGGTAAAAGTTGGTCTGTGTTCTGTCGGAGCTGCCTGCGACGCGCTGATGAGATTCAAAAAAATCGAAATCGCTATCCGCGTCTGGCAGTTTC